CTATTATACAATGTTTGCCAGATTGTGTCTATCACAGTATATCTCATTGCTAGTATCTATCACACTGTAGCTATGATACAATGTTTGCTAGATTGTGTCTATCACACTATATCTCACTGCTAGTATCTAACACACTGTATCTATCATACAATGTTTGCTAGATTGTGTCTATCACAGTATATCTCATTGCTAGTATCTATCACACTGTAGCTATGATACAATGTTTGCCAGATTGTGTCTATCACAGTATATCTCATTGCTAGTATCTAACACACTGTAGCTATGATACAATGTTTGCTAGATTGTGTCTATCACAGTATATCTCACTGCTAGTATCTATCACACTGTAGCTATGATACAATGTTTGCTAAGATTGTGTCTATCACAGTATATCTCACTGCTAGTATCTATCACACTGTATCTATCATACAATGTTTGCCAGATTGTGTCTATCACAGTATATCTCACTGCTAGTATCTATCACACTGTAGCTATGATACAATGTTTGCTAGATTGTGTCTATCACAGTATATCTCATTGCTAGTATCTATCACACTGTATCTATCATACAATGTTTGCTAGATTGTGTCTATCACAGTATATCTCATTGCTAGTATCTATCACACTGTATCTATCATACAATGTTTGCCAGATTGTGTCTATCACAGTATATCTCATTGCTAGTATCTATCACACTGTAGCTATCATACAATGTTTGCCAGATTGTGTCTATCACAGTATATCTCATTGCTAGTATCTATCACACTGTAGCTATCATACAATGTTTGCTAAATTGTGTCTATCACAGTATATCTCATTGCTAGTATCTATCACACTGTAGCTATGATACAATGTTTGCCAGATTGTGTCTATCACAGTATATCTCACTGCTAGTATCAATCACACTGTATCTATCATACAATGTTTGCCAGATTGTGTCTATCACAGTATATCTCATTGCTAGTATCTATCACGCTGTATCTATGTATCATACAATGTTTGCCAGATTGTGTCTATCACAGTATATCTCATTGCTAGTATCTATCACACTGTAGCTATGATACAATGTTTGCCAGATTGTGTCTATCACAGTATATCTCATTGCTAGTATCTTATCACACTGTAGCTATGATACAATGTTTGCTAGATTGTGTCTATCACAGTATATCTCACTGCTAGTATCTATCACACTGTATCTATCATACAATGTTTGCTAGATTGTGTCTATCACAGTATATCTCATTGCTAGTATCTATCACACTGTAGCTATCATACAATGTTTGCCAGATTGTGTCTATCACAGTATATCTCACTGCTAGTATCTATCACACTGTAGCTATGATACAATGTTTGCCAGATTGTGTCTATCACAGTATATCTCACTGCTAGTATCTATCACACTGTAGCTATCATACAATGTTTGCCAGATTGTGTCTATCACAGTATATCTCATTGCTAGTATCTATCACACTGTATTTATCATACAATGTTTGCCAGATTGTGTCTATCACAGTATATCTCATTGCTAGTATCTATCACACTGCAACTCCCAGACAGTATCTGTTACACAGACAGTACCTAAAAGACTGTATCTCACACCCAGGATTTATCACACTGTATCTCCCAGACATTGTCTATCACACAATATATCCCAGTCAGTATCTAACAGACAGTATCTCACAGTCAGTATATACCACATACAGTCTTACAGCTAGTGTCTAGATCAACACACGTTTACAATGGGTCTGCAACTAAGCCATGATTCGACCGAAGCTAGTGGAACAGGATTGTCTTCAGTGACGTGCCATGCTTCACAATGCGCTTTGCCGATAGCGGGGCGTAGGAGGCTAGAACGTAAGGAACAGTGTTGTGGTTGTAATGCTCACCTTTTTATAGGGGGAAGCGTAATGGTTTGGGAGAAGTTTGTGATAACGGTCAATCTCAACTGATTGTCATGCAGGTTAATGTTACTGCCATACAGTATCGGAGCCTAGTTTTGACCCCAGTCCTTCCCACATTCAAGCACCGCCATGGTCCTTCTTACGTTACGCCGGCGATGACGTCATGGACACGGGCCGCTACCTGGACCTGAACGCGGTCAGACACATCTGGGATGAGCAGGTGAAAAACGAGAGCGGCAGCTGATGAATCAACTCCAGATCTTGGGCAAGCATGTCTTGACCAGTGGTGACGACTTCCAGTAAGAGTGGTCCGACAGGTTCTCCTGTCCCTGAGAAGACATTGTGTTGCCGTCACGCCCGCCCTCGGAGGTCAAAACGCTCCCTTCAAGCACTTTTATCTGTGTGAAACCTAGCGATAGGATTCTTGGAACGTCATGCATTTATCATCCAAATAGAATGATACCGCAATACACTTTTCATCGTCTGTATTACTGCCTGTATCATTGCAGTGTGATACTGCCTGGATCTGATCTCTGAATGCACGCACTACCTCCATTGTTGGTTTCAAATTTAAAAGTGTACAGTTTTTAGTGTGGTTGAGTATATATATTACCTCACAATCAGCATCAATCAAACTGTATCTCTGATCATTATGCGCAACACAGTGTCTCAGCGTCAGTATCCGTGACTGTGTATCACAATCAGCATCCATCAAACTGTATCTCTGATCATTATGCGCAACACAGTGTCTCAGCGTCAGTATCCGTGACTGTGTATCACAATCAGCATCCATCAAACTGTATCTCTGATCATTATGCGCAACACAGTGTCTCAGCGTCAGTATCCGCGACTGTTTATCACAATCAGCATCCATCACACAGTGTCTCACAGATAGTATCCACAACGCAGTGTCTACCAATGGGCGCCTGAAACATATCACCACACAGTACCTATAACACTGTGCCAGGATACCAATACCCAGGTGATATACACTCGTTGCAAGTGACATGTGTATATGTTCAATGTTCGCAGATTTAACACGGGGTTACAGATATTTACTTTAGGTCGTGGTTTCATTGCCCCGCATGGTCAGCTGGTGAGTGTACCTGGGTCAGTAGACACGAACACTCCTCGGGCCGTACACATTACTGGTATATATCACCGACACATACCGAGGTTTATAGACAAGATGGTCATGATGGTCGGAATTACGGCTTTCTAATTGTACTACAATACATCTGCCCCAAGTGAGTGAGTGAGTTTAGTTTTACGCCGCACTCAGCAATATCTCAGCTATATGGCGGCAGTCTGTAAGTAATCGTGTGTGGACCAGACAATCGAGTGATAAACATCATGAACATCGATCTACGCATTTGGGATACAATGACATGTGTCAACCAAGTCAGCGAGCACATACATACATACGTACGTCCGTACGTAGAGGATGTAGTGAGTGCACGCCCCGATACACACTATGCCGTGTCCTTTTGCCGTAAGCTCACGTCTCTAGTCATACAACACACATTATGTTCACGTTCCCGGCTACGCAATATGTTGTCTAAAGTTGTAGCGTGTTCTCGCTCTGGGATTGAAACGTGGTTTCACACGTGGTGTGTTAACGCTTCCTGGAAACAATATGTGATTAAAGGCTATAATGTGTTTAAGTCCTTGTACATGATATGTCTGAGTATAAAGTTGGTTCAGTTTTTGTGTAACACGGGGTCTGATCTTGTAGCGTATTCACGATACGGCTATCTTATTATTCCAGGGGCATTTTTTTTTGTTTAAAATATTATGGAAAACATGTAGCCAGGTTTTGTTCTAAGGATACAATCTGTAAACTGAGGGCATAGAATCGCTGACTGTACGAAAAATGCTCCTGATGTGCAATACATTGACCAAACGAGTAATCGTATCACGCTCTCGGTTTGGAATAAGGGACCACATGCTCATGATTAAGCCCTGAACTGTAGGCTTTCAGTTCCAAAAACAAATTGAATTTAAACCACTGGTAGAGACTCGCTGGTAATGCCACTTCAGCTGGTTGTTTCGTCGTGTTTGTGCTCGTGTAGAGGTCAGACAGAGGCAAACAGTTCCCTGATTGTTGTAATACGGACCTAATGATATAACCGGCTAAAGCCGGAGCAGGGATAATTATGTTATGCCCTCCCTGACCAATTATTGGCTGTGAAGGTTGGCCTGGAACGTGGCAATTACGTGGACTGAAATCCACAAGCTGGTTCCCATCGGTACATTCTACATTGCCTGCAGCCTTCGGAGACATTCATGAAAAGACTTTTGTTCATAATAAACAGTTTCCTACATGCTATATTCCTCAAACGAAATATATATACTGTATAAATCACAAATAATGAAATGAAATTCTTGAATACTCAAATACTTGAAAATTATGTTGTTTGAAAAATCCTTTTCTGCGATTCAGACTGGTTGGTGATTACTTAAATTAGAATGTTTTACCTAAAGTTTGAAGTCGACTTGCTACCATAAATTGGATCCGTGAAGAACCGGGTTAGAATTGGCTTCAGTAGCCCATGTTTGTTGTAAAAAGGCAACTAACCGGATCAGGTGGTTAGGCTCGCTGACTTGGTTGACACATGTCATCGTATCCCAATTGCGTAGATCGATGCCATGCTACTGGTCACTGGATTGTCTAGACCATACTTGATTATTTACAGACCGACCGATATTGCTGAGTGCGGCGTTAAACAACCAACCAACCAGCCAACCAACAATAAATTGGTTTCTCACCCCAAATCTTTGTTTCTGGAACGCTCCTTAAGACCAATAAATACAACAAACATACAAACAACAAAAAGGATTTATCGTGATCCCTTGTAATACGACCCACTTATTGTATCCAAGATTCTAAGATTGTTAGTTCACGAAGATGAAGAATACCTATTAAAATTTGACTGTTGACTGCTCATATTACAGAATAATTCCCAACAAGCTGTTATTAATATCTGATGGAGAAGAATGGTTCCCTGTTTCCTGTGATTGCTGCTTCGTGGCGCGATATAGTATCTATGTATTGTAAATACATATATGGTAAGACCAATAACTTCAACAAGTTTACAATTAGCAAAGTAAAGGATTTATTGTGTTCCCTTAGTGTCCCTTGTTCCCTGTGGTTGTTAGCTCGTGGGGAAGTTTTACGATGACTGCTATTTCGTTGGACAAGCTTGGCTCCTGTGACCATGCTTCTATTCCCGTGAAAACAAAGTTGATCTGCGAGATGTTCCGATACCAATTCCGGATACAACACATTTACCATCGTCCTATTCCTTCAAGATAAAATACTCATGACAAGCCAGGATGTTACAACAAACAAAATACTCATGACAAGCCAGGATGTTACAACAAACAAACAAATACTCATGACAAGCCAGGATGTTACAACAAACAAACAAATACTCATGACAAGCCAGGATGTTACAACAAACAAACAAATACTCATGACAAGCCAGGATGTTACAACAAACAAACAAATACTCATGACAAGCCAGGATGTTACAACAAACAAACAAAGCTGCTGAAGGAAGCACTGTCACTATAGAAAATTAATATTAAATTATTTAATTATATTAATTTTAAGATAAGAGCAACTAGGTGATGTACCCCCGGGCGTGTTTTTAAAACCCACATGTCATACTAGTGCCTTGTTATGTACACTTGAATATGATGACACTGACAAGAAAGTTTTGAGCAGTTGGATATCATAATATCAAATTGTGTAAGTTAAACATCATGATCCCGACAAATTACCATAATAACACTCAAATATTTCGCACAGTTAAATTTGATGACAAAGACAGTTACCACGACACCACCACATTGAGAAACTGTACAAACTGTACAGATCATAACCCAGACAATTGCCGTACAGTGAGATGCCACGACCTTGACATTATTGGACACTGTTTTGCTGAAAGGCCATGTGCAGTTGATTATTATATTACTGCAGGTTTACATGTTATATCAATGGATTTATAATACCACGTGACAATGTTATATCCACCGACACAAGGTGTAACGTATCTATGTATACTTAATGCAAGGTGGTAATGATGTAACCACAGACACAATGCAAAGTGGTAATGTTATATGCACTAATACACGATGCAAAAAGTGACGATGTTTTATCAACATGACAATGTTATATGCACTAATACACGATGCAAACATGACAATGTTATAACCACAGATACATGATGAAGCATAAAAATGTTACATCCAAAGATACACGATGCAACATGGCACCGTTATATCCACATGTACACGATGCGGCATGACAATGTTATATGCACTAATACACGATGCAGCCATCACAATGTTATAACCACAGATACATGATGCAGCATATAAAAAAATATTATATCCAAAGCTACACAATGCAGCATGACAATGGTACATCTACAGATACATCAGGCAGCGTATCTACTGACACAATACAACATGACAATGATACATCCACAGATACATCAGGCAGCGTATCTACTGGCACAATACAACATGACAATGATACATCCACAGATACATCAGGCAGCGTATCTACTGGCACAATACAACATGACATCAGGCAGCGTATCTACTGGCACAATACAACATGACAATGATACATCCACAGATACATCAGGCAGCGTATCTACTGACACAATACAACATGACAATGATACATCCACAGATACATCAGGCAGCGTATCTACTGACACAATACAACATGACAATGATACATCCACAGATACATCAGGCAGCGTATCTACTGGCACAATACAACATGACAATGATACATCCACAGATACATCAGGCAGCGTATCTACTGACACAATACAACATGACAATGATACATCCACAGATACATCAGGCAGCGTATCTACTGACACAATACAACATGACAATGATACATCCACAGATACATCAGGCAGCGTATCTACTGGCACAATACAACATGACAATGATACATCCACAGATACATCAGGCAGCGTATCTACTGACACAATACAACATGGCAATGATACATCCACAGATACATCAGGCAGCGTAATATCTGACACAATACAACATGACATGATACATCCACAGATACATCAGGCAGCGTATCTACTGACACAATACAACATGACAATGATACATCCACAGATACATCAGGCAGCGTATCTACTGGCACAATACAACATGACAATGATACATCCACAGATACATCAGGCAGCGTATCTACTGACACAATACAACATGACAATGATACATCCACAGATACATCAGGCAGCGTATCTACTGGCACAATACAACATGACAATGATACATCCACAGATACATCAGGCAGCGTATCTACTGACACAATACAACATGACAATGTTATATCCCCTGATACATGAATACTCCTGACAATTGTGTATCCAATGATACTCAATGCAAAGAAGGGGTGTGTGTGTGTGTGTGTGTGTGTGTGTGTGTGTGTGTGTGTGTGTGTGTGTGTGTGTGTGTGTGTGTGTGTGTGTGTGTGTGTGTGTGTGTGTTTGTGTGTGTGTGTGTGTGTGTGTTTACCCTAATGGTTAAAGCGTCACGCTGAAGACCCGGGTTCGATTCCCCACATGGGTACAATGTGTAAAGCCCATTCCTGGTGTCCCCGCCGTGATATTGCTGGAATATTGCTAAAAGCGGCGTAAAACCAAACTCACTCATGTGAGTGTAATGTTATAACCACTGATAAAAAAGCAACGGCAAAACTGTTGATAAGTATAAGGTACATGTTGTTTGCCCAGATACAAAATGCAACGTGGTAATGTCGATAAGTTCAAGAAGTGAGTGAGTATTGTTTAACGCCGCTTCTAGCAATATTCCAGCAATATCACGGCGGGGACGCCAGGAATGGGCTTCACAAATTGTACCCATGTGGGAAATCGAACCCGGGTCTTCAGCGTGACGCTTTAACCATTAGGCTACCTATCTACCTAACTCTTTATATCCACTGATACACCTGCGTAGATGAACCGTCACCAACGGCATTCGGGCAGGCAGTGGCGCATTCGTTGATGGTCACTGGCGTCAGGAAGTTGGCTTCGGTGGCATTCCCAATGTAACATTCACCGTAGAATTGTATCCCGAAAAACTCCCTGTTCGTTGAGGCAGATGCACTGGCACAGGCATCTATTGTCTTTTTAAGATTAGGCCAGACAATGGAGCTTCGTAGGTTGACATGGAGTTCAGGCAGAACCTTTCCGGGTGTTGACTTGAAGCAGCCGTACGATCGGTACCACCTCCCTGTAACCTCTAAGTACAGAAAACAAAATTGATTAACCTGCTGTGCATGTTGTTTTGTAATTCCTACTGTTCGGAAGGTTCAAACTGTAAATAGTTCTACAACTATCAAACGTAATTTAGGAAAAGGTCTTACCAGCAATCCCGCAACTTCCTATCAATGAAAGACACAGTTGAGAGTGTCCCTCTAAGGATGTTCCTGCCTATGGTTAGTTGCTACACACCAGTGTATCTGTATTCTATGTCTTTAGAAGGGTAGCATGATTATCCCTTTCTTTGATCGGGTTGTACATAGTTCACAGTACCCCTTAGCCCTACATGTTGTTGGGTAGCAGATCGGGTACAGTGCACCTGTGTTTGGGTTGCACATCGTTCATGGTCTACCTTCTTGTAGTTAGGTAGCATATCGTCTACAGTGTACCTACTTGTGGTTGGGTAGCATATCGTCCACAGTGTACCTACTTGTAGTTAGGTAGCATATCGTCTACAGTGTACCTACTTGTAGTTGGGTAGGTCCACAGTATACCTACTTGTGGTTCGGTAACACATATCCACAGTGTACCTACTTGTGGTTGGGTAGGTCCACATTGTACCTACTTGTGGTTGGGTAAGTCCACAGTATACGTACTTGTGGTTGGGTAGGTCCACATGGTCCACTTGTGATTGGGTAGGTCCACATTGTACCTACTTGTGGTTGGGTAGGTCCACATTGTACCTACTTGTGTTTGGGTAGGTCCACAGTGTACCTACTTGTGGTTGGGTAGGTCCACTTTGTACCTACTTGTGGTTGGGTAGGTCCACAGTGTACCTACTTGTGGTTGGGTAGGTCCACAGTGTACCTACTTGTGGTTGGGTAGTAAATATCCACAGTGTACCTATCTCTCGTTGGCAGCACATCGTCCACAGTGTACCTACTTGTGGTTGGGCAGCACATCGTCCACAGCGTACCTACTTCTTGTGTGGTAACATATCGTCCATCCGTTGCCTTTTAGCAACGTCATGCAGGGTACAGCAGTGTAAATATGTAAGGAATGGTACTAGAGTATGCTGTGTATCCATCACATGTTATCACACGAGTATGTTATTTTGGGATGATAAATATCTTGTTTTGGGGAATTAAGTCCTGTTATCACAGATTATACCTTCTTTGTCATGTAAAGCCTTTTTAGACTGTTTTATAAAAAACATATAAAAAGAGTAATTATTTTTAAGGTAATCTTTAATGAGCAAAAATAACTTTGTCGGACATCATCTTCGGGGCAATCCATAGGTCCACCAGTTAGATAATTGCCCTTTATCAACGGGAAGACTCTCTTGCCTATAAGACTTTACACCATTGTAACTACTATTTGTCTCCGCCATATAGTTGGAATATTGGCAGCTTTAAGCCACAAAACAAAACTATTTTCTGTTTTTGAGTTTCTGCTTTTTAAAAAAGATTATTATCGAATTATTTTAGAAACATAACTTGCTTTAGCTTGATCTTTTAATCTATTCAGTACGCTGAAGATTCTGTCATTTAATTGTGCACAATTAATTCGTTTGTATGTCAAGTACTTTCCTGTGGTGCCATAAACCTACTTGTAGTTGTGTTCCTAAACATTGTTTTGATGTGTTGGGGCAAATAGACGTTCTTTCTGGTTCAAGAGGTCCTTAAGCCACACTTCTACCAACGCCACTGAATCACGCTCGTGTAGAGTAATGCCAACACTTATAAAACGCCCTGGCGCCATGGACATTTCGGTATCTGAAACTCTTAGGTTGATACTGATAATCATTGCCTCAGTAATTTATCCAGATCGTGGATATGAAGGATTGAAGCCATGGCTGACTTAGAGTGTCATGAACGTCTGGCCTTTCCCATCTGCAGATTCATGCAGGGGACCTCCAACCTACCAATTACGTGCTAATACAGTTTACCATGATGAGAGAAGAAAGGATAGCAAGCTCTGTAGTGTATCCACTTGAGGAAGACTATCATGTTCCACGTGCTACCTGTCTGAGATAGGTAAGCGGGTATACAGTCTATCTACATGAGATAAGATAGCATGCCTTACAGTGTAATTAAAGCGGCAGAGCACCATGGCCTACAGTTTACTTACCTCAGATGTCAAAGCTTGTTCTTCTGGGTATCATGCGTCTAGAGTTAACCTACCTGAGATTGGGCACAATGCATCTGGAGTATATCTGCCTGAGATAGGGTACCATGCGTCTACAGTTAACCTACCTGAGATTGGGCACAATACATCTGCAGTATATCTGCCTGAGATAGGGAACCATGCGTCTAGAGTTAACCTACCTGAGATTGGGCACAATGCATCTGGAGTATATCTGCCTGAGATAGGGTACCATGCGTCTACAGTTAACCTACCTGAGATTGGGCACAATGCATCTGGAGTATATCTGCCTGAGATAGGGTACCATGCGTCTACAGTTAACCTACCTGAGATTGGGCACAATGCATCTGGAGTATATCTGCCTGAGATAGGGAACCATGCGTCTAGAGTTAACCTACCTGAGATTGGGCACAATGCATCTGCAGTATATCTGCCTGAGATAGGGAACCATGCGTCTAGAGTTAACCTACCTGAGATTTGGCACAATACATCTGCAGTATATCTGCCTGAGATAGGGAACCATGCGTCTAGAGTTAACCTACCTGAGATTTGGCACAATACATCTGCAGTATATCTGCCTGAGATAGGGAACCATGCGTCTAGAGTTAACCTACCTGAGATTGGGCACAATGCATCTGCAGTATATCTACCTGAGATAGGGAACCATGCGTCTAGAGTTAACCTACCTGAGATTGGGCACAATGCATCTGCAGTATATCTGCCTGAGATAGGGAACCATGCGTCTACAGTTAACCTACCTGAGATTGGGCACAATGCATCTGCAGTATATCTGCCTGAGATAGGGAACCATGCGTCTAGAGTTAACCTACCTGAGATTGGGCACATTATGGCATGTTTGCAGTGATAACGTACCGATGAATTTCACTTTAAACAGAAAAATAAATCAAATAAAGTGATATTAAGATTAAGATTTAAATCGCTATTATTAGTGCGTATTACAAGGGTGTAAGCGCAGTACTTGGAACAGTGACACAAAAGCACCTGCGGTGCGTGATGAGCGTTAACTTAGCCCAACCCTACTTGTCCTCGGTGTTTCATTTAATGTGCATACACCCTTGTTATACAGACCAATGATAGCGATTTGAAACTACGATGTTTGTTTAACAACTTTTATCTTAAGTTGAATAAAATTCTGAGATTTAAACATTCAATTGGCAAGGTCAATTTATGAGGATTCGCAATCTTAATTTCACTTTATTTGATTTACTTTTTTATTTAAAGTGAAATGCATCGGTATGTTTTTACTGCAAACAGACTATACCTGATATAGGATACCATGCGTCTGGTGTTAACCTACCTGAGATTGGGCACGATGCATCTGGAGTATATCTACCTGAGATAGGGTACCATGAGTCTAGAGTTTACCTGCCTGAGACAGGGTACCATGCGTATGAAGTTTACCTGCCTGAGATAGGTTACCATGAGTATGGAATTTACCTGCCTGAGATAGAGTAACATGCGTATGGAGGTACCTTACCTGTGTTAGGGTACCATACATTTACAGTGTACCTAACTGTGTTAGGGTACCATACATCTACAGTGTACCTACCTGAAATAGGGTAGCATACTCCACAGCCTGTTTCGATGCTGCATGTATTACAGTATGGTTGTAGTGACGAGGAAATCTCACAAGTCTCGTTATAACCACACGAGACATCCTTGCACTGCTGTCGCACTGACTGAAATGAACAACACAGTTACCTAAATTGATTGTGTTGCAGCACCAGAGACACCTGACACCATACCACATACACCACCAGTGCTAAAACTATAATATATTAACTCATAGGGTAACTAGACATTATATACATTTGCCTTTGAGATGCCGTTATTGTACAGATATTAAGGTTCATGGGTGTCTCAGTCAGAAATAGATGCATTTATTGTTCACCTGCGTAGTGTATAGCTTGGGAATCGAACCACGTCCTTTGGTATAACGAGAGAAAGGTGTAACCACTTAGCTGTTCCCCGTCATTTATATTCTCAGAACATCTAGAATAAATTACCTTGCAATAGTATACATGAGACAGTAATGATACCGTGCTGCACTGTCATACGTGCAGTATAACCTCGTGTGTTGTACCTTTTGTTATATGATGAGGAAATATACCTGCTGTGTTTTCAATTAAGAGGTAGTTTAATGGATTTATAATAGCTATAGATTTAATCAAACTTCAAGTTACTGTAAATCTGTAACAATACCTCCAATTTCAAAACACCGTAGGTTTATCTCCATTCTTCCATGACAATTCAGCTGGAACTCTTTGGATACACGTCAATACGCCAATACTGTTGCCTCGCATTCCAACCTCAAGTGGTATCGCCCCTAATAAAGGGTTGACAGGTTGTACATAAAAGTGAGTGAGTGCGTGAGTGAGTTTAGTTTTACGCTGCTTTAAGCATTATTCAAGCACTATCGCGGCAGATGACACCAGAAATGGGCTTCACACATGTATATATGTATATTTATATGTATATACACACATCTAGATAGATAGCTTTAGTACCTGGCATGCTGTATTTCCTGGTGTGCTGTATTACCTGGTGTGACATATTACATATGCACCTGCATGCTGTATTACCTGGTGAGCTGTATTACCTGGTGTGACATAGTATATATGCACCTTGCATGCAGTATCTACTGGCGTGCTGTATTACCTGACGTGATGTATTACCTGGTGTGACATATCACATATGCGCCTGCATGCTGTATTACCTGGTGAGCTGTATTACCTGGTGTGACATAGTACATATGCACCTGGCATGCTGTATTACCTGGTGTGACATATTATATATGTACCTGGCATGCTGTATTACCTGACGTGCTGTATTACCTGGTGTGACATATTACACATGTACCTGGCATGCTGATTTACTTGACGTGCTGTATTACCTGGCGTGCTGTATTACCTGGTGTGACATATTACATATGCACCTGCATGCTGTATTACCTGGTGAGCTGTATTACCTGGTGTGACATATTACACATGTACCTGGCGTGCTGTATTACCTGGTGTGACATATTACACATGTACCTGGCGTGCTGTATTACCTGGTGTGACATATTACACATGTACCTGGCGTGCTGTATTACCTGGTGTGACATATTACACATGTACCTGGCATGCTGTATTACCTGACGTGCTGTATTACCAAGCGTGCTGTATTACCTGGTGTGACATATTACACATGTACCTGGCATGCTGTATTACCTGACGTGCTTTATTACCTGGCGTGCTGTATTACCTGGTGTGACATATCACACATGTACCTGGCGTGCTGTATTACCTGGTGTGACATATTACACATGTACCTGGCGTGCTGTATTACCTGGTGTGACATATTACACATGTACCTGGCGTGCTGTATTACCTGGTGTGACATATTACACATGTACCTGGCATGCTGTTTTACCTGGTGTGCTATATTACCTTGTGTGACATATTACACATGTACCTGGCATGCCGTATTACCTGCAGTGCTGTATTACCTGCGATGCAGTATTACCTTTAGTGTTGCATTACGATGTAGAACCTGCCGTGCAGTATTACCTAGGGTGCAGTGTTACCTGGCGTGCTGTATTACCTCGTGTGCAGTATTACCTGGTGTGCAGTACTACCTGAGGTGCAGCTTTACCTGACGTGCTGCATTACCTGGTGTGCGTATACATTACATTTCGTGTTATGTTATGTGTTACCTGAGGGAACCCTTCAATGTCATAATACACCCACGAAGTCTCAACGGTGATTGTGCCCGTCTCGGCATAGTTGGCCTGGTTGAGCTCACACGTCCCGAATCCGAGAAGGAAGTTGAAGGATTTGCAGCGTCCCCTGTTTGCGCAAGCCCGGGCACATGACATAAGACCTGTCATTTGTATGGACAAAAAGGTGTGGTGGGTGAGGCGCTTATTGTTCTGGAGTGGAAGGTTGCCCAAGTTAGTGCATCTCCTATAAGATGACGCGGTGACGGTAACAGCCAATAAAAGCAGTAGAAGTATCTCAGATGCCATAATGTACAATCTGAAATTTGTCAAAAAGAGACATACTTTGAACAGACAACTAGAACATCGATAATTATGATCTCTTTAGTTCATGTGAGTTTATTACATAAAGTTAACCAACATTCCAATCACTTAGTCACCCCTTTCAGCTCAGTAGAAAACCTGCCATTCCAATATCTGTTACAAACATAAGAAATGCGGCCTTTGATGATGTTACAGTTGGAAACAGTAAATAACAATTGCATTGATACACAGACCATACACCGATATCGTCCCTGGCTGATATTATTACCCCTTCCGTTTTTTATAATACATGAACCTACAATGAAACCGTAACGTTAGAAACTATATAATGCCTAGCCTTGCTCCAAGGCTGTACTGAATGCTGAGCCCATGGGTTATAGTAATTCTATCCTTCGAAGAGGCAAGTCCAGATAAGCGGACAGTAAGGACCCCATTCTCATATTACTTTTTAGAAATTATCATTTAAACTATTAATCTTTATCTTAGAGACTTGTGCAAGTCTATATAATGCCGTATTTGCTGTTTTATTACTTGCATCTTGGAAGAGAAAATGAGTAATCGTGTGGTATTGATCCACAAGGCATGCTCTCTATCCGTCTTGTTACGCTTTCCAAGCCAAAGACTACTGCATAATAAACGTTAATGGCGATTGGTGGAGGCCAGATTCTTCAGTCCTCTCATAACCTCAGTCGACCTTCCATAAACAATGATGCAATAAATGATACGTCAAATATGAAGAAGAATCACGATGACGCGACATACAGTGTAGCATGTGACGAGCTCTTTAGCTGTATACTACAGATCATTAGATTTTACTTTACAATTAGAAATATACATATGGGAATTAAACACACGTATTTTCTCAGACTGAGTAACTTTAATGAACTGGTACATAAAATGTGTCAAAACTGTCCACACCACATTGATTTTTAAGTGACAAGAAAGGTTTGAGGAGAAACATGGTCAAGATTACCATGACATAATCTGGAAGATTGTACAGATTTGGAAAATGAATCTCATTTCATGCAAAAAAACATTATATTTTAGTTTTCTTGCACAAATTTAACAGTCAGTATCTTGCATACATCGTGTTTGCGGAATTGAAGAATAATGTCTTACATGTCCAAAAACAGACTTCCCATAAGTGTCTTGTGTAACCTCCTTGAATCTACCGTAGGATCTACGGAATCATGTTCCATTCACCATCCAAAGCCGCAGTCATTTCATTAATCTGGACTCATGGCAACAATCTGTTCTTAGAACTGGGTGACAGCAGCCAGGCATTGTCATCCATAACGATGGGTCTTGTGGATAGAGGATGGTTATCAAAATGTGGACAACAGCCGCCTCATGGATCTCCTGTTGATACCGAGGTCCATTAAAGTTACTTCGAATGGTAATGAGGTCCAGCTTGCAACTCAAGAAATGCATCCCCATACCATGATTGACCCTGCCTAAAGGAAACCGTGTCCTGGATATTGCGGGGAACTTTAGCTGTGTTCCTCTGTCTCCAGACACGTGCACGACCATTCACCTAACGACCATCCACCCAAAGTGAACCCTCCGCACCATGATGCAATGTTCCAACGAGCACGTTGATTACACCAGGGCAGTTGTGCTGCTTTGTGAGCTGGAGAGTTTTTGTACGCTTGATGGGTCTTCTTCCCTGTGTCATGTTGCCATCAGCCTATTCCTAGTTGCCCTGCAGGAAATGGCTCTCCCAGGTAACCACTGTTGAATTAACAATGTGCTTGAGTCGCATGAACGGCGCCTGAATAGTCCCAACAATGCCCTATCGTCTCTTATGGTTGCTTTACGGGTCTGCCAGGTCTTCAAGATCTTCAACATCATTGGTAGCCCTGTGTTTGTCCAGAAGTCAACTGATAGAAGGATTGCGTCCAACGTGACGTCCAACTTGTCTGACGGACAGCATGCACTTCTCATGCCCAAATATTTGCCACCTTGTAGCCTCTGACAATCTACGACGTGCCATGACAATGATGGTACTGAATATTTAATCCAAATTGAAAGGAGAGAGTGTGACATATTATCAATAACATTTTGATTTTAACAATGTTGGGGGTTAATATTCACATGCATTTCATTGTTGCCCGTACACTGAATATCTCCACAAAATATCATGCTATACAGCAAGATTTAACATGTTAATAAATCATTCAGAAACATGCTCTGTTTTCTTAATTCACAGAGTTATAGGTATATGAATTAGGAGTTACTTAATTAATTATCATTTTATATTTGGTCAGGGAAAATTAATTCGATATTAACCGTAAAGGCTCACAGCCGAATAAATGGTGGAATTTATCTGCAATACTTGGCGAGTTTCAGAGTTTACATAAATGTCACTAGTGTAACCGAACATCCAACTGGACATCATCTGCTCCGGCAGACAGCCGGCCGCGAGGTGTTGCCTTGCCTCATGCCTCACCACTGTCAACAATTGCGTTCAAGCAGGTAGGGACGACATTCCTCTGAAAACGTTATGTTTAGTACTTGCATTCTGTGACATTTCATTCTCTGAATATTAATTGCAAAACATACTTTTAAATGCAGTTATGGCTTCCAACCGTTTAGACCCCTCCTCTTGTGAGACTAAGGTATGATAACAGAGCAATCTCACTTATTAAACGCAATTGTTATTTTTGAGACATGATGCAGAGCGGGATAACTGATAATAGTACTGGACAAATGCATATATTGTTTCATGGCTTCACACATTGTAGAGAAAAGTCCGATGGGATGCATCTTTGACAATCTATTAAAAACAGGCAACGAACCAGCAGTATATAAAACACTCAGGAGATTTGCCATTTAAGTTTCAAAGTGTCATACGCAATGCCGTGTTTGAGGTCTTTTGAAAGAGAAATAACCGTTGGTACCGAGAACCGAGCGATGAAATGTTCGGAAGTTTGAATGTTTACAAAGGCATCACTGAGCTGTAAATTCTAATTGTAATGAATTGTTTTCATTTGACTAGTTTATTCAACTGAAACACTGAAAGTGCATAAAAAAGGGCCCCATGGTCACATGGGAGTTTCAGATATTTTGTTAGAAAAAGTAGGACTCGATTAGCTTCCTGCCTTTCAACATGCTGGAAATGGGATCACACAAACATTGGGAAATTGTTATAATTCTATTGTCGTTTTACATATTTATGTTTTCGAAAGCACGTATATGTACTGTCTTCCATTTCATCTTTCAAAGTAACTATATAGCATTGTACAAGCGAGCCATGGTATTCCTTATTCGTGATACATGGAAACAGCGCTTCCTTTGTAAATTCAATTCTTCTATTGTATTACTGGCATTGACATTAACTGCATTGCGGCTTTGAGCAATATTTCAGCAATAACACGGCAGTGGACACCACAAATGGGCTTCACACATTGTACCCATGTGGGGAATCGAACCGGGTCTTCGGCGTGACGAGCGAAAGCTCAATGGAGCTGGATAGAAGTCCCACTTTCAGCGCCATTTCCATAAACCAATGTATAAATAGCAGTCCCACACACCTTCTGGATCCGCGCCTGCAGGTCATGGACTGAAGATAGGCACATATAGCAAAACACAATACTGCTGAAACAACACCGTTTACTATTTACTGTATTCACACTTTCACCCACCCATTGCAACTTAAGTCCACGTTTATATATGTGAACTTCTATTTCTAATGAAATATGGCTTTAATACAACGTTTCCATTTTAAATTCCCGTATTGGGACGAAACAGCACCACATGTTGCCTTCTGGCAATTATAACACTAAACTAACTGAAAACCATACGCAAATCACATGTAACGTTCATTGCGCACGAAATTCAATAGTTTCAAGTATATTTCGAAGGACTTTGAGTGCGTATTGTGCTGTGTTTGCTTAAACTGTTCTGTCCAGAGCATGTACCACCTCCATGAAAATAGTTATAGTAAAAAGTAATGTAATTACATGCACTATTTTGTAATAAATAATGTATACAAGTCATACTGGTGTGAGATTTAAACAAAACTATAGAAATATATTTGTATTTAAATAAAAACAATAGAGGTATATTTGTATTTAACAAAACAATAGAGATATACATGTATTTGTATTTAACCAAACAATAGAGATACATTTGTCTTTAACAAAACAAAGAAAATGAAACTGCTGTGATAATATAATTTTGCACATATTTTGAAAAGATATATGCTATGAACATCAGACACCACAGGTAATCGTCTGGATCAAGTTCCAATGGCATCAGTAATTAACATTATAAGATATTTTCACATTGATACAGGCAGGTGGACAAAGTGACTAGTAAACAATCTGCTCGGAAAGAACCACAGGAATGTGTCAAACGAGGATGAAGTATAGTTGCTCTTCTGCCCCAAATAAGAAGTATTTCTGGCTTTAACACTACAGTTACAAAATAAAAATGGTTAAGACGTCTGCACTAACAAAGAAGATATTCCATAATTTGAGCGTGTCTGGTTTAAAGCATTGCTGGTAAGTAACAGAACTAACACTGTTTCTGTTTTTAAGATTATGATGACAGTTGATGGCTACTCTTGGGAATTAATTTGCATGCAAGAAAGCTGGACATACGTCGTTGAAAATCTTACTTTACAATGCGACACGGATTTTAGTTTCACGTCTGATTGATAGTGTTTCCATGGTTGTTTCGTGATGTGAACTTGATCGAGATGCGAAGACCAGCAACTATTCTAGTAGTGTCGAGTTTATCCGAGTTGACATGTGTGTTGTTCAATTGATATATGAGTTGGACATGTGCAATGGTCATTATTCCGAAATGAATATACCATTATATGTTCAGTTATCCCAGATTTTAGAAATGCAATGTAAATATGATCATATTCTTCGGGTATATTTAATTTTAATTTAGTCTTGTGGTTATCACGGATAATGATCGAAGAAATTCGTACAAGGTAATCAAGTGAACTATACAGATTAGAAACAACTCAACCCATTGTCAACT